TAAAATGATAAAATAAAATTCACCAAGTAGAAGCTATTAATTAAATTGTAATAATGAATACTGGATTTTGGTAGCTATTTCTTTTGATATAGGGTCTTTCGATGTATCTCAGACTGTACTCGGGCTCTTGTGTGTTGCTATTTTAATGATACGTATTATGTATGATAGATTCATATAGTTCTACATTTTTTCTTCCCCATTCATCATATTTGGAATTTATTATAATAAGCACAATGACAACTCTTTAATTGATCAACCAGAGTCAAAAGTTCAGCACAGAAAGGTAATCTTTATTATATTTGAACTAGAAACAGAGCAGGTAGCAAGCTTACGAGGTATGATTTGATTATTTTTAAATGAGGCCTCAACAACGATAATCAAATATAATCCTTACTTGAACAGATAGTTTGGTCAATATTATAATACCCAGGGGCAGAAGAGCCAGCAATATAAAGTAACACCAAGGTTTATGACAAAGCATTTCTGATGTGCCAAAAAATACAGATCACTGCCTTAAACTCTATCTTTGCATTCCTGTCATCTTCCTCCTAAACACTGAACAAGTACAGTTACTCAGCAAAATATCAGTTCTGTACATAATACCCATATAAGAATCCCACCTCAATATTGTTAATATTAATCCAAAGCTTTTCTTTTTCTCTAAACATTAAATGAATCATGATTCCAGTCCTTACATGGATTAGTGTCAGTGGTAATCTGCAAAATTAATTTTGTTTTCAATGTTAAGTAGAAGATTGACTTCACATTTGGTGGCCAGCTTTGTACCCTAATTTTTATCTTTGATTTTCTTAATAAATTTAACTATATTTCATAAGCCCTGAGATATTAGATAACCTGCTAATGATTGTTCACTTTTAATTTATACTTTACTACACTTAGTTCAGCCCCACATAAGAAGTATTTTAAATTACTTACAGATGCTTATAACTAAAGCAATAATAAAATATACTACTTGTACAGCTAAGACTACCAGTAAGGCCTTTATCTAAGAGTTGCATATTTCATGTATTTTTAATGTTAGAAGCAACTCTTAAAATTGCATCTAGAATTCTGTCACCAATAAGTGCTTTTCAATTTATATAGTTCTACATGGTGAACCAGGCTCTTTTCCTTTCTTGTAGATCGAATCCTTTTCTTTTTCCCTTCTTCAAACACAAATACTAGTTTTCCAACTGAACTCCTGCTAGAAGGAACTGAGCACATGAACAGCATACTGAGAGCTGTAATGCCTAGCAGAGAAATATGTTCATAGCACACATTCAATAAATGTCTGTTCCTCATGGAATAAGTGGATTGTAAGGCAGCTGTCTGAGTCATATACTGCTCATAGCATACTGTAACTAATTTTGCTTAATTAGAAAATCTGGGTTATCGGATTTAATTCCACCTCAAGTATAAATGAACAGATTGAAATTTTAAAAAATGGATTCGCCAGTTCTCAGAAAAACTCAACAAGTTAATCATAAGTGCTATTATAGCACTAGTTGATTGAAGGGGAAAAGCAAAATTACTTTCCATTAAATATATATATATATATATACACACACATATAATTGCATATATATAATTCAACGAAGGGAAGAAATTAAAATAAACCAAAACGTAATTATCTAACTCATATAATTTTCTCTGCATTTCTCCTTGTAGCTTTTTTGTTCACATATTTATCTCTGTTAAGTTTTCTAGTTTAAAGATAATTTTACTATCTGAATAGATATCCCCATCTCAGGAACATGATAATGTAAGTGAATGACTTGTATTTTTATGTCAGAACATATTTCTGCATTTATTTTTGGCTAACATTTAATTTACCTACTTAAAGGATGCTGTATAGAATATGATATAATCTGCCAACATACCATTTATTAGAGTTTTGCTTATAATACTCAGTGTTTTATTGATAGCTTTGAAGCATATTGCACACTTGTCACCTAGCACATGAATAAGTAACCATTACTCTTTTAGAAAGGATACACTCAAAACGCTTAAGTTAATGGCATTAGCCCAACCTGTTTAGTTGATTACAGGACAATTGCAATTGCAAAAACATTAACGATGCAGTTCATGGTTCGGTTCTCCCATCTTACAGTGCAGGTTCCTGAAAGCATACAAGCAAGGACTTTGATACATCAGGAAAATATCAAAATCCTCAGGCACCACACACACCCCCCCCCCACATACACGAACACACAGATTTTAACAATATTTTATCTAACCTGTTATATCTTCATATTTCATAGTGGTCTGAAGTCATACTATGTACAAAGCAATTCTACTAATACAATCTTGTAAGACTTTAATGAGAGTTAAGTAGGCAGCTGATAAAAAGTACAGACTGAATTTCCTGGAATTTTGAATCCGTGTAAATTAATTTAAAGTCTCTTACCATCAGACGTAGTATCCCAGAAACAGGAGCTGGCTGTGTGAAAGCCATATGCACTCTTCTGCACCACCGCACAAGTCACTACAAAGAAAATCATAAGATGACATGTATAGGAAAAGGGAAAGAACCAAGATCGAAGTGCTTTAGTTCAGAACTCCAAAACCTTTTAAAAAAGTAGCACAAAATAATTCAACCAGTGGACTCATAAAACTCTCCTGTTTTGATTATTTACCACGAAGGCTTTAACCTCAAAAGGATTCAGCCAGCTCATGGCCCACTATAAGCACTTCAGACAAATTCTTGGTCAAATTCTGTGCTCAGTACCTTTAGAAGATTTCAGACAGAAACACGGGAAATATTTCACTGTGTAAGTAGTATGTGGAACTTCAGAGGCTTATGCAGAGGCATGGATTGGTGAGTGGAAGACATCACTGAAGGGTCTGAGTGGAAAGAAAAATGATGCTGCCAAGGCAAGTAGTTTGAACTGCTTTTGACTGAAAGAAGTCCATTTTCATGTAAAATTGTGTACTAAATCAAAACGAATAAGCTAGAAGTACTTCCTAGCCTGTTAGTATCCCACTACATTGCCTAGGATTCACATACATTCTTAACATAAGAAGAAAGGTGTGAAAAGTAGTGAGGAAGGATACCACACATCTATACTCACCAATGTACTTATATGCTTTTCCCAACTTAACCAAATGCGCTAGGCATTGCTCCACGATACTTGCGGTCCATTGGTTGATATTGTTCTGATTGTAGTCTTCACCGCCTAAGACCCCATCAACACACTAGGAGAAAGGGCAGTTCAGTTATCCCAAATGAACAAATTTTATACATACTGAAAGAGAAATGTATTCAAGGCATAACCTGTTACAGCATTACAGAAAGCACACATTTGATGTTTGTTGTACACTAACTGCTTCCGAGTTTTCAAAGCATTTCCACAAGCATTATCTCATTCCATGAAATACTATGGGTCACATAAAGACAAATTTTCCAAGGCCTCTGTGGTAAAGAACTTAATCTAGTAGTGACACTAATAAAATAATTCTACTATTTGTAACCCAGAGTAATTGTAGGCAATAAGTCATAAAATGATTACAGGGCAGAGAAAAGATTAGGAAAGGATGATATTAATTAGTTAAAGAGTGGCTTTGAAACACTTGAGATTAAAACTCTGGCTCAGCTGCCAAAAACAAAGGATGGGACTAATTTAAAAGCACAGTTCTCGTGTCCAATAATTATAATCTCATTCACACTATAGAATTGCTAACACACCTGCCAATGAAAGTAAATAAAGATACTCTAGAAAAAGAAAGTAAAAATATCCCAGAGTGTTTACTTGCATCTACTTTTGACACCTCAGTCCTGGGTTTGAAGGCCAGATTGGTACCTATCTGTTGTGTGATCTTTAGTAAGGGACCTACCACCTTTAAGTCACTATTTCCCTGATCGTCACATGAGAGAGAAAGCAGTAGCACCTCAGTTGCTGAAGAGATGAGATTAGATAATGAATGCCAAGTACTCGATCACTGTGACAGGCACAGAACGAGCACACAAATAGCTATCATCATTATCATTATTGCTATTGTTATTTTGCATGTAAGTGATAGTATGTGGAAAATAAAGTATCCAATTCAGCTTTATAATCTCGATTAACACATACACAAACATATGACCATATGTCTTCATTGAGTATAATTGGATTATAGTCAAAGTTTATAAGGTGTTCATTGATATAGAAGCTTTAGCTGGATATTATAAAATCTTTACTAATAGTAAGATATAAAAAACGAACTTAAATAATTTAAAGGGGTTGATGGAGTTAAAGTGGGCCAAATTACTCTTGAAATTTCAATAGCATCAAGGCAGCAGCCTAACAGTCAGGAGAACAAGATTTTAATTCTGTCTTTACCATTAACAAGATGATGAACTTGGGCCAAACCATTTCTACTGTCTGATGACCTTTAGTTGATGGGAAAACATGATCACACTTTTGTTTATTTCTGTTGTTTTAGTTTTTTGAATGTCATCTAATAGCACTATTCTCTAAGTTCTGCTCTAAACAACAGAAAACAATGCAGGATGTCAAGAACCCTGCTGATTACTTTTAACTAATAGTTAACCTAACTAGTTCCAATAAACCTGGAAGCACACTACACAATGAGATCTTTACACAGCTTTGTATTAGACACAGAGCAGGTATTCAGTGTTTGTTACTGAAACAAAATTGACTTTGATATACTATCTGGCTCTCCTAAATTAAATACACTTTAGACTGAGTTTCAAGTTAATTTCATTTCTAATTCATTTCTTCTTTTCCAAAAATTTGGAGATGGGGGAAATTCTGCCACTACCTAAATCAAATGTATTCATATTACTGGTAAATGAGTGACCTTGAGAGTTCAACAATTAAAGTTGAAAAGAGGGGGGCAGGTGCTCAGATCAAGAAATTAAAGGAAAATAAGATGGGTATGAGATAAAGAAAACAGAAATAACTGCTGAAATAATGGAACTTTCTAGGAAGTGCTAAAATGTTTTAAAGTGTACCTGGATGTTTAACCCTTTTCAGTACCTCAATGGAAATCTTTTAACGGCATAGAAAGGTTGACTCGGAAAGGAAAGGCAAAGGTGAGAATAAAGACATGTGTCTCAAAGGAACATGTACTAAACCTAAGACTTTAAGTGTCATCTTTGCTGCTAAAAAATTAGAGTTCAGTTTGTTTCAATATATTTTCAGTTAAATGATACATCGCTAAACATATTCTCAAAAATATTTCAGTAAAATTTGTACTATTAAATGCATCCAGTAAGTTAGGTGTGGTGGTGTGTGTGTATAATCCCAACACTTAAGAGTTACAGCCAGAATATCAAACTGGACGCCAGCCTGGGCTACACAGCAACACTCCTTCTCTAAAACACAAAGGAAATAAGAAAAAGAAATAAAATGTACCTATTAGCTTCTAACACCACATAACCACTCTCTCTCATTCTTTCCTCTCTTCTCTTTCTCTCTCACACATACAGACACACACACAAACATACAGACACACACATGCGTGCACGCACATACACACACATACACACACACACCCTACAAGTTTAAGAAGCAGTTACTTTAATGTAATAAAATCTAACCCTACCATATCCACCCAAATTCTCCTTTTCTAAGGATTATTTCTATATTTCCAAATAACATGTATACTGCTATTTCTTGTTTAAGAGCTATAGAAAACATCTATAGAATTCCTATGACAGATGAAAAGTAAGTTCCCTCAGACCACCCGCCAGCTTCCTCCCACCTCCTTCTCTAAAAATAGTGAATTCGGTATATTTAATTCAATATATTTACACTGATAGAAACATATTTCTTCCTCACTCACGATAGTTCCTTGCATACAGAAACTTTCTCCTTAACATTCCCAACTTCTTCTTGCCCTCATCATCCCTTGCTTTGGAGATGGCGTGAAGTGCTTGGCTGGTGAGTGACCAGCATTGTTCTACCATGCCCATCTGAGAAAGTCAATTTCCCAAACATTTTGGGCTTCGGATTTCATTTATTTTTCCATCTCTACCCAGACCAATGAGAACATCAGCCTGTGTGTTTGTCTTTGCTGATTCACATTTTCCTTTGTATGCACACAAAGCCAGCACTGCAAGTTCTGAACTGAGCAGGGGTTAATAAAGCAAGCAATAGTCATCAACCTAGTTTTATCGGAAATAAAGGTGGTGTTTTATTCTAATGATATTTTTGTCTTTTTATACGGTTCAAAAATTGGGTAAGGAAAAAATATATTAAAGCACCTCTTCCAAAGATTCATCACCTTTTATTTCATGTCCACTGACCAAAAATGGTCTTATGGTTCTACTTGAAAAAGTAAGATTATTGTTACCTCTACCTCCCAACTGCTTTTGTCTGTGCTTTGAAATTGTCAAGGTATTGAAAACATTTGCATCCTCTTTTAATTAAATATTCTTAAATATATTAATTTATATTATATATTTTAAATGTTCAATAACTTAATATCCTAATACATGATTCTTCACTATTAAAATATAGCAGGGTTTTCAGTGTCTTCCTAGCCCTATGAGATGTTGAGCTTATCCTACCAGTACAAGGCTAGATCAGCATGAGCTCTTGATAAGATGATTACCTTAGAGAGGTCAGGCAAGTCAGGAACTCTCTTGGTGAATGCCCAGAAGGCAGAGCCTATCCAGCCCAGACGTCTCAAACAAGCCTTGCTAGGACATAGGCCCCAAAAGCCATACTCACAATTGAAACCTGCTTTTTTGGCCAGGTCATTTTTTTTCCTAGGACTTGGCAGAGTTAAAGATGACTAAGGACTCTTAAACTGTTCATAAGTATCTTTCTTACCCACAGAGTAGTCTGTATTAGTAACACTAGAATAACTGAAGCTCTCTAGTAGAACTGATTCTGAAAAAGAACTTCTTTTCTATTTGCCTGACAACAAACTAGATTTCATGTTTCAAACAGTTTTCTGAAGATTTTGGTTTATGATCATATCAATGTCTAAAAGATATTATGCTGTGCTAAAATAAGTGCATAATATCCAAAGGCAGGAGTTTGTAGGGTCTTTTACCTAATTAAGTTGCACACATACTTTACATTATAAAAAGTACATATGTATACATATACATATATACTCCTGCTTTTATAGCATTAACATTTAAAGTTATGATTTGTCTTCTGGAATAAAAGCTCTTATATTCTAAAGACAGGATAACAAGTTTAAAACATAGCCAACCAGTTTTTTAGAGCAAGATGTCTGTTCTCTTTCAGAAAAAGGCCAGATAGGTCTTATATGAAACAGATTCCTGCAAAGAGTGACTAATATTTTAAAGTCTGGATTTTTAAGATTAATATTTCTAATGTAGTGAAAATAAAAAATCAAATTTTATATTTTTTCCATCAGTATAACAAGCTTCAAGATGAACATCAAATGTAACTCACCTCTTTGACGATATTGTGGGCTTCTTCAGCATTAAAGCCAACCTAAAGAGAAAAGACAATATAAAAGTTTGGGCTACCCTCAGCTGGCCTAAGAACGTGTTAGTAGAAGAAGACATAGTGCTAAGAAACACCGTGTCTCCTGAAGGTGCTGATCCTATTCCTTGTGGATGCTGATCCATTAGGACTGGGCCAGGACTAGGCAACTATACCACTTTGAAAAGTACTTTCACATTAGTGACTCTGATGAACATTCTAGAGAATCATATATTATAAAGCTCAGGAAATTAGCAGGTGTTTGCTCTGTGTTATAAGCATACAGGAAATCATTTCAGCTACATGAAAGAATATTGTTACCCATAAGAAAAGAAGGCTCAAATGGAAATTTTCAGTTTTATTTTTAACTTATGAGGCAAAAAGTGGATTTTCTAAATTAAAATACTTTATCACTCAAAACTAATGTCACTTTAATTCTATAAACTGGTCTGACAATGCTGTCCCTTTCCTTTGGAGTAGCTTGTTAGAATCCTGAGTTAACAGTATTATCAATGACATCTATATGTCCTCAAGTACAGAACTAGGTTTTGTAATAAGACTGATCAATCAAATACTTCAGGTAATACAAGAATTATTCCCATGGAAATATTCTGGGTGCTTTATGACAATAGCATTTTTTAAAAGCCTTTATGCAACTTAAAACTACTTTAAACAAGTAAATTCTGAAATTATGATTTTGAGTATAGATTTAAATTTTTAACTCTGTTAATTACTCTAGAATTTCCCAATCCCCCATCCCCCCACCTCCCTGAAAGGAATAAAAAAGTATCTAAATACTTCCAAGCATTATAAAAACAGGTGTCATGATTGGGCCCTATGAAAATGTGCCATTTTACATTAAAATCACACCCAAAATTCGCCTAAGAAACAAAGGATGAACATTTGACTTCAATTTAGGAAGTCATCTTAAAATATGGATGTATCAGGTGGCCATGGCAACACATATAATTTAAATTGTTTTTTTTTTTTTTTCCTTTTTTTCTGTGGCTGGAACCTAGGGCTTTCCACATGCACTCTACTAATGTGCTGTATCCACACTTCTTTTTAAATGTATGTATTTAGGAAGTAGTGCTGGAAAAGATCCCCTTTGCACCGTTGCTGGGGGTTATGTATGAGGGACCGCTAACCATGTAATTGGGGGGGGGGCAAGTCCTTTTCTGTAACATTAGGTTGTTTAACCATTGACCTTCAAGGATGTATGCAATCTACAATACAGGCGCTTCTCATTCACCAGTAGCTGTCTCTGGACAGAAAAATATGTCTAATTCTGTCCTTGAAAACTTATAAATTATGCTGCAATTCAACAGGCCTCATCCTGCAAGTGGTTGGAACAAGAGTTGTAGTGTTAAGTCAGAGGCCTGAGTTCAAAAGGAGCATCTGTTGTTCCTTGGGGTTTTAACTTGGGGCCAGTCACTTAGCCACCACGTAAAGTCAGAGCCCCCCCATCGGTAAGAGGAAGATAAATGACATCAGGGAGTTCTGGTAAGGCTTGGGGAAACCTGAATTACTGAGCAGAGACTCTAAAGCCATAAAGCATCTCCTCCAGTCCACCCAGCGGAGAGTTCCCAGGGACCGCGGCTCCAGCTCCAGGGGAAGTAAAGGGGTGGAGGAAGGAGAGGGAAGACTGGTTTTCCAGGCCTGCCTGGCAGACGGGCGGGGCCTGCCACCCCCCAAGCACTCCAAGTTAGGCCTCGCTCAACCCCACCAGGTCCTCCTAGACCCCCGCTATGTGCCCTAGGTACGCCGGGTCACCCTGATCGTCTTCAGGTTCAGCCCACCCTCAGGTTCTCGGGGCGGGGAGGGAGAGACAGAGAGACGAATGGGTAAGGCAGATCCGGCCCCCAGCGGATCCCCGTCCTTCCGGCAGACCCCGGCTCGGAGGACACAGCATCCTAACTCTCCCAGAGCCGGCGCTAAGAGACCACCCGACAGGGACCCCGCAGCCAGGCAGGCGGGGCCGAGGGGCGCTCGCGGCGCCGAGGGGCGGTACCTCGTCGCTGTGGCGTTGGTACTCCTCCATGGTGGCTCGGCTCTCCCAGGGGGCGGAGCGAAGCACTAGTCGAGCTAGGCAGCCGCGCACTGGCCTCCCGGGGGCCCCGCCCCCCGTTTTAGACCCGGGGCCTCTGTCTCGACACAGGCCACGCCTTTGTGTCGTAGGGGTGCGCCCTGAAAACTCGCTGAGGGGCGGGGTCAAAGGAGAGGGAGGAGGGGCTCCGAGTGACGTAGGCGTCTCGCTGGGTGGAGGGGGCCTCTTGGGCCTGAAGTCAACTTCAGACCTGGCTGTCTCTCTCCACTGATCTTTCAGAAAATAAGAGATGTATGTTAAGAGCCCGGAACCAAACCAGTGTGGTCAGCGGGTCTAGACTCCACACAGGAGGATTAAGGCTCACTGCTGTGGTTCTTTGTACATAATTTACTCATTCACAGTTATCCAGCAAATGGATGTAGTTAAGGCAAACATAAGCAACTTTCATTTGTCCGCTTACTAGCTGATTACTTCAAACAGAATCCCTCAACAGATTCGGGTTTCCCACAGGAAAACATCTCCACCATGTGACCGGTTCTAAGGGTCAAATAAGACACTGTACACGCAATTAAAGTTGATGCTCCTCTTCCTTCAAGACTTTTATAAAGAAATACATGACTTAGTCATAAATACAGTATGTGGTAGAAGAGGTATGCCAACTCAAGTCCTGCAGTCTGATAGCACAGCCCAAGCTCTTGACCACTGTAGTGCGTTTCCTATGGCAGCTGTTACAAATTACCACGGGTCTAGTGGCTTAAAGCAGCACAAATATTTCATAGTTTTGGAGGTCAGCTATGTAAATGGCTCCATAGGATGCAGGTTCTTCCTGGAGACTCTGGAGGATGCCCAGTTTGCTTGCTGTTTACAATTTCTAGAAACTGCCTTCCTCCGGATTCAAAGCAGGGGTCACCTCTCCTGTGGAACTCTCCTGTGGAACTCAATCACATCCACCCACATAGTGCTTTTAGCTATGTAAAATAACACATTCACAGGTTCTGGGGATTTAAATGTGAGTATCTTTTGATGGGGAGTAATATTCACCCTACCACAATGATTTTTCTATTTTGTTTCCCATAACCATAGTTAAAAGATTTTTAGTTTTCTAATCCAATTCTCTTATTTTACAAGTAAAACAGGTATTGAGAGTGATGAAGCTACTTGTAACAGGCGCATAGGTGTTAATTCTTGTGCTCTTCAAATTCAGACCCTTCAATTCGCCACTCAGCATATGAACTTAGAACCAATTAAAGCTATTTATTTGATAAAGTGCATTTTGTTTTATTCGTGCTCTCACATTGGGCGATCATGCAAGTTCACTGAAAAAAAAAAAGTTGTGATTGGGCCTGGAGAGCCCTTGGAGCTCTTCAAGACAATGCATGTTTGATTCCTAGCACTCACATAGCTGATCACAACAAATTACAGCTCCGGTTCCATGGAATCCAATGCCTTTCTCTGGCTTCCACAGACACCAGGCACACAGGGTGCTCATACGTATATACATGTAGGCAACCACTTAGACACATAAAAATAAATCTTTAAAATACGTTGTGTGTGGCCACCAGGGGTGTAGTCACAGGACCTGAATGGATTATCAAGGAACTGAAAAAAAACCAGGGCACTCATGCGGTTTTATATCTTTACTCTTATTTCTTCACCCACGCACGAATGCCAAAAGCACAGACAACTGTTTATGTACTCGCTCATTAGAATTACAACTGAATATTTATAGAGCAAATAATAATAATAATGATAATGTGGCCAGAATATAGTAGTTCAGTAAAACATGAGCATTATCACCACAGTATGCCTTCTTGGGAGAGCACGTGTCTCCTGAGAAACTAGGGGAGTGCCAGCATTCCAGAGATAACTCCCCAGCAAGCATTCTTGCATAAAATTTCTCATAAGACAAGGCTCTACAGGCATACATGCTCAAGGTTACAGCTTAATTTACCAAGCATATTTTTAAAGCTGTAGTAATGCTATTTCATAGTCCCTTCACCTGTGATTGCAATTCATATTAGATGCATGAATTTTTTCAACATTATTCAACCAGAGCTTTCCCCCTATGAACAATTTTAGCAGTCTGTTTACGAGAAGGATTGGTGTTGGCTTTGTGAGCAACCAACATTATTTCCCCCAATGAACTTTTTCTATGTCTAGATGGTTCAGATCCTGAAGTTGATTACTGTTAAGGCTGTAAAAGAATACACCATCATGTCTCAATTTTATGTGATGTGTAACATATGAAAAATTTAAGAATGGAGTGCTGAAGTTTTGTTTCAATTCCCATCCTTATGTAGTAAATTGCCCCAGAATTCAGCTGCATGTTTATTTTATCATGTCATACCCATGGACTCATTTTGTGTATCTCTGTATGTGTGTATACTGTTTGCATGTAAACAGTTGCATGTGAATGCACATGTACGTGTGTGTGCATGTATATGGAGAATACAGATCAGTATTAAATGAATTTTTCAATCACTCATCACCTTATTTTTTGAGACAGGGTCTCTCAGTGAACCTGGAGCTCCCTGATTCAGCTAGACTGGCTGGCCAGCCAGCCTCAGGGATCCTCATGTTTCTGCCTCCCCAGCATTGGGATTATAGATGCTCACTGCCCTCTGAGACTTTTTTTGCTAGTTTGTTTGTTTGTTTGTTTTAGAGACACAGTCTCACTGGCTACCCTGAACTTATTATGTTGAGCAGGCTGGCCCTGAACTCACAGAGATCCACTTGCCTCTGCCTCCCAAGTGCTGGAATTAAAAGTGTTCACCACCAAACCAAGTCGTTTTTTTTTTTTTTTTTTAATGTGGATAGAGGGGATAAAACTCAAGGCTGCCTTATCTTGCCATGGCCTGCTCATGGATTCTGTTGGTTAGAAATTTGAATCCAGTCTGACTGAAAGAACTTTTCTGTGCTCTATGACGCCTGGGGCCTCAGCTGGAAAGACTCCAAGACTAGGGTCAGCCAACTTGATAGTGAGCGTTGGAACCAAAGTTATCCAGAGACTTGTTCATTCACATATCTGGCATCTGTGTTGAAGTGTATCAAATATTAGTGATGTCAGCTGGAGCATCGGCATGTGGCTTAATCAATTGGCTTGATCTCCTACCATCATGGCAGTCAAACAATTTATATGATGATTCAGGGGTCCAATCATGACTCTTTCTTCAAATCTGCAACACTTTTTTTTTTTTTAAATTTCAGAAATGGGGATCTCACTTTTCCACAGTCTGGCTTCAAGCATGTGGACTGAAGTGATCCTTCTGGTGCTACAAACGTGTCACTGTACTCAGCTCTGCATTCCCTTTTATGATCTTCTCAAACAAATTGTACAGTTCTCATGCCCGCAATCTTTGTTAAACCAATTGAAAGTAAGTTTTGGCTCCTTACAAAATATCTTAAGCAAGATATGACTAAATTTCTCATATTGTATCACTCTTTGATTCCTATATCATGCTGTATCAATGCTGTATTGATCTAAGCATTGAAACAGTCTCAGCCCTGAGGCTCCATGTGAGAGGATACAAAGCCCATTTCTCAATGGGAGAAGTTATGAATAATTTGGAGAACACACTTTAGAATCATTACAAGTTTAAAATAAAATAAAATAAAATGACAGGTTTATTAGTGTGTTCTTTTGACTACAAGTAATTGAAGTCCCAAGTAGAAAGAACTGAAGCAATGACATTTGTATCATCAAGAATACAAAGGATTATATATTCCAGGTCAAGGTAGTTACTCAAAGATTTTTGTGGGGTTTTCGTGCTTTCCATTTCTTTACACCACTGTCTTCAGACCAGCGGCCACATTATGTAGTCTTATACTTACACATGACTGCATTGGTTCTAGAATCACAGGAATAAGGACATGGAATCCATTGAAAAAAGTTGACTGCTGCCTTAGGTTTATCACCTTTCTTTCAAGTCCTCTGGCGTCTTCTCCTTAGGTCTTATTGGCCAAGGGTTAGCCATGTACTTTTCCATTTAGCAGAACACATGGTTAAACATGTTTAGTGTTTTATCTTTTATTATGAAATGTGAGTTCTTCTAGTGAAAACAAAACAGATACAGATATGAGGTGGGGAGGATGGCTCAGTACATAAAGTGCATGCTGCATGCATTGACACCTGATGCAGCAGTGCGAATCTGTAATCTGAGCACAGGGGAGGCAGAGACTGGAATATCTCTGGAGAATTCTGTTCAGCCAGTGCAGCACTGAAAGCCCCAAGTCACAGAGAAAGACCCTGTCTTAAAAAAATAAGATGGAGAGCACTGAGGGAGATAATTGACATCCACCTCTGTCATACACATATGCACACACACATGCATATTCACTTGCATCTATATGAACGCATATACACCACACACTAATTAATTAATTAATTAATTAATTAATTAATTAAAACTTGAAATAGAAAAAAACAGAATGTTAAATAAATGTTTCTGGGTTCATCTTTTTTAAACCTTTTCATTTCATTGTCTATAGAGAGATTAATGTGATTCTGTTTTTATTTTTGTCTGTCTAAGGAATGAAGCTAGGTTCTCTCACATGATAGGCAAGTGCTTTAGCACTGTGCTATATCCCCAAACCTTCTTTTACTTTTTACTTTGAAAGGAATCTTGGTAAGCACCTCAGACAGGCCTTTAGCTTTCTCTCCTCTTACCTTAGCTTCCTGAATAGCTGGAATTACAGGCCTGGGCCACTAGGCTCTGCTGGAGAAGTTAATATTTATATGTAACATTGAGATAAGATGAAGGCGCTATGTGTATCTAATAGGATTTGTCTAAGTATCTTTATATGATTACAAGGAAAAATGAGATTAAAAGGGTATTAAAATAAATTTGTAAGACTTTCAAATAAAATACTTAAAAATATCCTAGTAAAACCCTGGATTTTATTTTTATGAACACATTATATATCTGGTTGTAGGCTTTAAATATTTATAAATAATTCCTGTCAAGAACTCTTTGTTAGTGTGCTTCTTTTTTGAGACAGGATCATATGACTATGAAGTTCAGGCTGGCCTAGAACTCACAATCTTCCTGCCTCAGCCTCCAGAATGCCAGAATCATACGCATGCAACACATAACTTAACAACTTT